CCATTTCCTGATTACCTGGTGTGTGTATTTATAGTTGGTGTCTGCCTGTGCTTCTCGTCGCGTCGTCTGTGTTTCTAAGCATTCTGTGTTTCTCTGTGAACCTCCCGCGTAGTCTACATTATTCCATGTTTCTTCGTGTCTCTCTGCTTCTCACTCCATGTCCTCCGTTTTGTATTAGTTTTCTCAGTTTAGGTTTATGTTCGGTTCTGCCCACACCTTGGTTTTGTGCACTGTAAATAAAACCCACTTGCACCTCCGCCATTGTCTGCTATTGGATCCTCCTTTCTCACCCTCCACACGACTGCCGCCCCAGCCGTGACAGATGAAGAAGAAGGTGATGATTCCTCCTTTCAGCTCAGTCTCAGGTTCAGAGTAAGCCTTGTTCTGTTTGAATAACCAGCCTAAAATAGGGAAATTCTGCTCAAGTCACTTTGAAGTTAAAACCTTACAGATATTTCACTTATGGTGAAATCAGCTTCAGTTCTAAAAGTGCAGACCCTGTACTTCATTGTAGCATTGTCAAACATGCAGGGAATGTCAGAAGATGTTCTGAAACTCTAATTTATTATGCCAGCCTCCCAAAGTGCACAAAAGGACTACTTAAAAAAAAACAAAAACTAGCGATGAAGTCAAATTAAGTAAGCTGAGTTTAAGTTACCCTCACCATAACCATGAATAGACTAACTGTAGGCCTGGGCAGTCTCCTTTCATACCTACCTGCCCCTCCCACTAGGCATCAAGTCTTTCCATCAGGGGTATTCCCACTACATATTTCTATAACTATTTTCAGGCAACTAAACAGGCTGGTTATAAGAGGAAAAAACAAAGATGACCCCGAATGCGTCCGTGAACCCACTATTTAACAACAGGAACCCTGTGCCTCATTTTGCCCATCTATCTGTACGATCAGAGACATCAGGGAGACTGTGTGCAATGATTTCAGTGAAAGGTAAGTGATGGTATATGCTAGTGATGGTGAGATGAAGCCTCATGATGAACTGAAGCTTTGCACCCAATTGATCGACTCATGGTTCGAAGCATTGTGATGATTCATTTGCTCTACTGCGCCATCAAGTGAACAATTCAAGTGAAGCGGGCTCTGTGATTATAATGATGTGTAAACCTCTAAACGGAATAAATTGTTTTCTTGGTTATTTATCCCGAATATTGTCTCAGTATGTGTGATACAAAAGAGAAAGTGGAAACTGTCAGGACAGAGTTTTGGTATGATTGTGTAACTGTTAGCCTCAGACAGTCAGTCAATAGTATAATTCAGATCATAGATCAGTACATTTGCATATTTTTATAACTATAAAAAGAAAGCTGACACTTTCGAGACTTTATCTAATGTGTAAGCATCACAGCAGATGCCTTAGATTAGAATCAGTGAGCTGTCGGCTTTCAGCCCCGACCGTGCTGTCTGGTGAGAAAGGCGACATCTCACTGATTGTGATGCGTCAGCGCTTTGTGTTTACGTCTTTGTGCAGAATCGGTGTACCTGCTCTCATTTACCGTTTTAGCTGTTTGGTGGTGGTTGAAATGTAGTAATATTTATATTAAAAATCGATTCAGGATTTTAATGAATCGATATCACGTTATCCAAGCTAGAATCGATTTTAATCGATAATCAAAACCCGCTAGTACCTGTGTAATCATGCTTATGTACATCTGGATAATGACACAAACTAGTATTTGGCGCTTCACTTTTTAATAAACTAAAAGACAGAAATCAGATTATAGCATCTGTAGTGTTGTTTATTTATATTATGGTGCTTATCATTTGTGATATTTATTACTGTGTGCATACTTTATTAGGAGAGATAAAATAAAATAAAAAATCTCTTCCTTCCTGGTTCCATCGAAGAAGAAATGCTCAAGTAACTATGTAACACGTACGTAATCCAATTCCACAACACAGTGTGACGGGAAATCAGCTGTGTTTTTCTGCCCATTTTATTTCGAATCTGGCGCGAACCGGTGAACCAGTCCCTGAATCAGTCACGTGGTACGGACTGCCTGCGAGGCCTCAAACGTCACTGCATACGTAATCAAAGCAAGCCTCGATACGCGCTTCACAGACACGCCCCCAAAATTACCTGACACACGATTCGACACTTCGACACACAGGACACATCACTAGTATATGCTGCACCTGAGATGATAAATAGTAAAGTCAACTGTCCGCTCTCTTTGACCTTGAGACATGAAGCAGTGACAAAAGGTGAAGTGTGTGAAATGTGTGCATGTGGGCCTCCCTATCTGCTGCCAACAGTCAGTGATGGTATTGCTCCATCACATGCTGCATCATATATTACACAGCATTAAGAAAAATGTCACATTCAGTTAACTTCAGAAGTTTGTGTCAGAAGGTCAAAGTCCACTGAACAGCTACCCCGAGGTTCCCCTGAATGGGTTAAATGCAGAAAGGAATTTCCCCACAGGGATCAATAAAGTATAAAGTACACATTATCACAACCTGTGCACGACGTTGTTAGTAGTCCTTAAAGCAAACTTCCTCTTCTTTCAGCTGCTGTCTTTAGGCTTCACCACAGTAAATCATCTGCCTCCATCTCCTCCTTTTCCCAGCATCCTTCATCCATTAATCTCCTCAGAGGTCTTTCCTCCTGCCTGGCAGCTCCATCTGGGGGGCGTTTCTTATATCCCTCCTCTGCACATGTCCAATCCACCTCAGCCTAACTACTCTAATGATGTCTTCAAACTGGTCAACCTGCACTACCTGCAGCTTCATTATTCCACCCAGATTCCTCTCATTCACACACATGTATTCTCTGAATCCGCTCCAACAGGGGATTACATCAGGGACATTCAGGGATTTATTTGGTGACACCTCAGGCTGTTTGTGAAGCTCTGAAATGTTCAGAGGTCTGGATTTCTGAGAGAAGAATCCACATAATTACTGACACAGAGTGTGGCACTGATTGAATAGAGATTGACAGACCACGTGACTTTTGCGCATTGCATTGTGGGTACAAGTGGCAACAAAATCAAAACACTGCATCAAGCGCTAGCATTTCCAGCACCGGTAATCGTTAATTCTGCGGTTTTAACCCCTACTTGCATTTTTTTGCCCCAAAAATAGTTATGTACAAAACGAAGGAGAACACGGCATCTCTGCACAAAGACAGACGTGACGAAAAGGCAAAAAAAAGTACGAGGAAAAAATCAAAGGAGTGAAAGGGTCAGACCCATACGAGCATACGGAGTGGAGTAAGTACTGCCCAACTTTCATCACGCACATATTTATTATTCTATGGTCCTACATGTGAGTGCATACACTCACAAGATGTTTAGTAACTTCAGATCCTGCAACAAGCCCAGGTCCAGTTTACTTTGGTGATTTGGACGATTCCATCTCACAGCTGTTTTTTTTTTCCTTTATCTCCTGTACAGGCCAACACAATTTATTTGTTGTTTCAGGTTGTAGTGTTACACAATATTTTCACATTTAACAGAAATAAAATGAGTGTTTCGTAATTCATTCATTTTATTGTCTTTATTTATAACTGGCATTATTGTTTCATTCTATTAGAGAATCTTACAGGAAAGAGGCAGAATTGTATTCAATTGTGCTTTATTAGCTGCTTTGGTGAAAAACAAATCAACAATGCAAAAACAACAACAACAACAACAACATTGCAAAACAACCTACTGGAAAACAGTTATTCATCACTTGATTGCTTCAATACAATGTTTGTGCACATATATGCAGGACGTTTTTTGGCTGTTTTGATATCGCTCTCTCTCTTAACCGATCAAATCTGGCTGTGGTAGCAGCTTTAAACTCGGTCTGACCCAGGCTGATAGAGGGGCCCAGTCTGGATCACATTCCAGCATTTTGTAGGCTGGTTTTCCTACAAGCCCGCAAAGCCACAGTGAACAAAGCAGCATAGCGCAACGAATTCAATTCAAATCATTATAAGACTTATTTGTAACCTACATCAACAATTATATTATGATAAATTACGTAATAACTACAACAGAAGACTGATCTTTGTGGAAATGCTTGGAGCAGACTAACCTGTGAGCTGGATGTTCTGGGACGTTATATTTGGTCTTCGAATGGCTGCAATCCAGGACATCCGTTGGCTCTTTGTTACTTTGGAAACATGGCTTGAACAATTTATTTTCCACGACGTAATCAGATAAAAAACAATCTCTTTACCCGTCGGCTTCCCGTGGCTGTCATACGATTAAAATCGCGCCAATCCTGCACAGAAAATTCAATAAATGTTTTACTTTATTATTAAAGACATTTTATAAACTGATTTTGGGTGTGTACCACAAGAGCTCACATAAGCCCAACTGAAGAGCTTCATTAACTATGCATGATCCAGCAAAAACCTCCAAGAAGGGCTCCAAGAAAGCTGTCTCTAAGGGGGGTCTCCAAGAGCGCCAAGATGAGGAGGAGAAGGAAGGACAGTGATTATTTCATCATATTTGAAAATAAAAAATCTTCCCACAAAAGTGAGGAAGAGACATATGTTTCAACTTTTTACTGTAATTTGGAGATTAAAAAAAAAGTTGAAGTCATTTACGGAAAACTTCTGTACTTGCTTAATCCTAGATCTGAAATACAGCTTTAAAAACAAATAATAGAACCTTGAAATCGACTGTGTATTTAACTGGAAGCCAATGTAAAGATCCAAATATCTGAGTAATACATTCTGTTTTTGGTACCCGTCAGGAACCTTGCAGCTGCATTTGCAGAACAAGTTGCAGGCAGGATAGGCTTGACCGGCAGATGCTTGAATAAAGAGAATTACAGTAATTTAGACGTGATCAAATGGAAGCATGAATAACTGTTTTCTAGACCTTAGATGATAAGATAATTTTGAGTTCAGAGATGGGAAAAACACTGGACATACAACTCCCATTAAAATAATCTGCACGCCCCACTGCACTCCAGGAGGAGGGAGGGGTTACTCCAGTAAATGCTTTCACTTTCATTCTTTCTGGTCGGCTCGCAAACACAATTTTAAGCTGCCACGGTAAATAAAATCGAATGCAGTCTGACCGCAGTTAAATCAGTGAAAAGCCTATCACCGCTCAAACTCAGGTAAGTGCTTGTTCAGACATCTATAAGTTATAAAATGACTGAGCTGAAAACGCCTTAGGGCTCTTTAACAGACAGAAATACATTTGGACCCACCATCAGTTCACATTTAAGAAACTTCCTGTGACTTCGACGTGATTTGTCGTTTCAGCAAGTATTTGCAAGAGATTTGAGGAGAAAACGAACCACACCCGTAAATGTTTCTTGCTGTAAAAGAAATTCAATGGATTTTGTTTCAACATATTTTTTAAAACGTCAATAAACATCCGCCGTGTCCATCGTTTTCTGACAAATGTTCTTCGTAGTCGTATATTAAAGATCGGTAACATTTAAGATCAGCAATGATTCCACCATTTCAGGATCAGTGATGGGAATAACAGCGTTACTAACGGCTTTACTTTCTTCATTAACGATTAATCTAACTAATTACTATTCCTAACGTTACAACGCTGTTACTGTTACTAACAAGAAAATGCGGTCCGTTACTATTTTTTAACAAACAGACGGTTGAAGCTGTGTTCAGCTTACTGCAGTTTATATCAGATGCAGGAAGTAGCTGTAAGTAATCTGGGCGCTACAGCTTTAAGCAGCTGCGCGCTCCCGCGGACGGTGATCACTTTCTGCCCGACGATCACTTTTTGGCAAAATACCTGGAGCTCAGGGGGCAAAACAATGGCATGAGTGCTGCTGTTTGACTGAGGAAGAATAAAGTAGTCGTGGTCAATCACATGACCACTTAAAGACAAAGCAACAAGGTGATATATACCAGTTTATAAACTCTGGTGATCGGCCACGTAAAACCAGAGTCATGATAAACAAGATATACGTGTGTTTTTTCCTCAATAGTTTCGTCACGTTTACTGTCTAAGGACAGCGCAGCGAGACCTCTCTGCTTATGAGAGAAAAAAGTTTAGGAAGAAGGGGAAGTTTTAGGAGTCACAACGAGAGAGAGAGAGAGAGAGCGAGAGAGAGCAGAAAAAGAGAGAGAGCGAGTTTTGAGATTTGTGACGGTTAGTGTGTTCTGAGTGTGTAGTTAGTGTGTTGTGTTGTGGATAGTTTTATGTTGTGTGTCAGAACAATGAGGTGACTGCTGTCTGCAGTATCTCCTTTATAGTGGACAGAAATTATTTTTTTGGAGTGGCACAAATAATTTGTGGCATCTTATTGAAGAACAGCTGAATGTTCTGTAAATAGTTTGAAGAAATTGTTTTAAAAAAAGGTAAATGGCTGCAAATAACTTTGTTGTTTGCAAACCTTGTGCGTCTGATTTTATAATTGACAATTTATATTTGTTATGAAATATGATTCATTAAACATGTTTGTGGTTGTTACAGTAAAAAATATAACTTATTCTACTCGGATTTTATGTTTTTTGTCTGATTTTAGATCAATTGTGTTAATTCAGTCTGTCAAAATGAAAACACAACTATAAATTCAGACGTGTTAGGTTGTGCTGAAAACAATGATACCAAACAAGTCAAATAAACAGTTTTTAAAGGTGAAATGTAGAGGAAACATCAAAAGTAGTTACAAATGGCCAATTAAAGCTGCAAGCAGCGTTATGAGGGCCCTCGCACCCCCGCGCGTCGAGCCACGCCCAACACCTACAACCAGCACGTCCGATCTGATGTCACATTGATGGAATTCATGCATTTAACCACCAGCTAACATTTCATCTCATTCAATCATGATTATTATAGTCATCCCACTAGGTGGCGCTCTAACCATTACTGACAAATGGCATAACAAACATTTCCGAGCTCTAGTCTCATCACACCTGCGACCTTTGGGAGAGATTGGACATTGTGTTTTTGAGTGACAGCAGATTACTGCTTTTTGGCGAGTGATTGAAACTCCACATGCCGCCATGACCACCCTGTTTCCCTGAACATAAAAAGCTTCGCAATTTAACATCACAAAGGTCTTTAGATTCCACGCACTGGAGATCGTGTCAATCTGATGAAATCCCTTGGAGGAGTTCGTCAAAGAACGATGCCTGAAAAGAGGGGAAAATGTCACCAAAATTACACATTAATTTTAAAATGGCTGACTTCCTGTTGGATTTGGGATATTGCTCTAAGAGACTTTTTTGTACATCTTGATATCTTCCATAAGCTTGCCAGGTTTCAGACTCATAGATAAAACACGCGCTACGGAGCCATTTTGCGCTATTCAAGGAAAATGATCACATCACAAGAAAGCCTTCATCACATTGGAGATGTTCGCCAAATTTCAAGACTTTTTAAACTTTCCAAGCCCCTCAAAAGCTACTTCATTTTTCATGGTGAATCGCGTTGCCACCAGGGTGCGCCGTTCAGTTTAAAGTCACAATTTTCGCACTAAAGCATCATGAAGGACTGATGGTGATATTCACCGCTTTTGAGGTGTCCATGATGAACCTGTGGAAATCAGTACAACAAAGTGAAAGACGTGACATTTCCTGTTGCCACTAGGTGGCGCTCTGCGTATTCCTGACAATGGGCACATCAATCTCTTGAGTTACACTAATTTGTTTCTTCATGGCGAGACATAAATGTTCGCCATGCTGCTGTGCATGCTGCTTGTGCGAAAACTCACAGTTTTCACTGTAACCCAAGACCAACTCCTTAAGGCTTTCCTGGAGAAATTTGAGGCTGCAGATGTCACTCATCACTATACTGTACCCCAAAGTGTAAAACATGACATTTCCTGTTCCCACTAGGTGGCGCTGTCCTTGCTGTTAAATATGCCAGTTGAAATATGTTCAACTCAACTCATGAAATTTTGCACATATGCCAGGTCTGGTGAAAAATTTTGTATTTTAATGGTTTTACATATGAGAACTGGGAAATGGCTCTAGGGCGCCATCTATGCCTTGTTACATGCAGTCCTACGAACACATGGTTTGAGCTACATGTATGAAATCTGGCACACATGTGTACCATGCCAAGACGAACAAAAAAGTCTGTGGGCCCATTGACGCAAACCCAACAGGAAGTCCGCAATTTGGAAGTGAAGGTGACATTTTGGCTCTAATTTTGCCATTTCCATGCCTCGAACTTTTTCGAACTCCTCCTTGGGATTTGGTTGTATAAGCTTCATCTTTGGTCAGTGTCAACTACACACCTGGGCCATGTTAAATTGCGGAGTTTTTGAGTTTTTGCGATACGGTGAGGCGGTGGCGCCATGGCGAATTTCAATGACTCGCCATGAAAATCTTATTGCCTCTCATTCTGTCATACATTGTCCGATCTGGACCAAAGAGCACACATATGATAAGGCTCCACCCCTGAACATATTTCAACTGCCAAATTTGACATCAGGGACAGCGCCACCTAGTGGGAATGTGATGAAGGTTTTGTTGTTATGTGATCACTTTCATTGAATAGCGCAAAATGGCTCCACAGCGCCCCCTACAAAATTTCAAATCATCAGCCCCTGCTCTGTGTTTTATCTATGAGTCTGAAACCTGGTAAGCTTATGGAAGATATCAAGATGTACAAAAAAGTCTCTTGGAGCAATATCACAATTCCAACAGGAAGTCAGTCATTTTAAAATTAATGTGTAATTTTGGCGACATTTTCCCCTCTTTTCAGGCACCGTACTTTGACGAACTCCTCCAAGGGATTTCATCAGATTGACACGATCTCCAGTGTGTGGAATCTAAAGACCTTTGTGATGTTAAATTGTGAAGCTTTTTACGTTCAGGGAAACGGGGTGGTCATGGCGGCACGTGGAGTTTCAATCACTCGCCAAAAAGCAGTAATCTGCTGTCACTCAAAAACACAATGTCCAATCTCTCCCAAAGGTCGCAGGTGTGATAGGACTCGACATTGGAAATGGTTGTTATGCCATTTGTCAGTAATGGTTAGAGCGCCACCTAGTGGGACGACTATAATCATGGTTGAATGAGATGAGATGTTAGCTGGTGGTTAAATGCATGAATTCCATCAATGTGACATCAGATCGGACGTGCTGGTTTTAGGTGTTGGGCGTGGCTTGACGCGCCGGGGTGCAAGGGCCCTCATAACGCTGCTTGCAGCTTTAATTATTATTGTTTTCTTGTAACAAAACACCCCCACTATCCTTGCGCACATATTGAAGTGAAACTTCATTTCAAAAAGGGCAGCTAAACAAATACATTCATTTGTGATCACTGGATGTAATAGTGGCAAGTATTGGGTATAAAGGATAGTATCCTAATGCATCCTAATGTTTTTTGTTTTGTTGTTTGTTTAACAGATGAATGAATCTCTGGTGTTTTTAACAGTTTAACATTATGGAGACTGCAGCACCTGGTAAGTTAAGTCAGATTTTATCCGTCTGGCCTCTCGCACAATAGACTACACCAAGTCTTAAAAACTGTTCACATAACTTAAATCTAGTCTGTAAAAAGTTCAAAGCAAAAATGTGTACATATGAAATAACCACTAGCTGTATCAAAGCTAGGCTACATCTATTACTTTTATTTATTCATAAAAAGTAGCCTTTTTATTTAGTTTTTCTCAAATTTAGTTTTTTTCTACAAACTGCACATTTAAATTTTAAATCCTGTATTTTATAATTCTATTATGTCTCTCTGACTTGAGTAGTTTTGTTAAGATTGTTGCCAGTGGAATAAGCTTGAATGCCAGACTTTTATAGAGTTTATAAATGCAGCACTTGAGAGCGTGAATGTGAATGAAATACAGTTCTGTATACATCTATTCCATCTATGCTCTAGTTCAGAAGGCAGTTTGTGTTTGGTAACTGACAACAAACCCCAGAAGAAGACTAAGATAATACACCTTAATGTAAAACGCCAAACAGTCACAACTGCAGTATCCTGTTTTAGCTTTAGTGAAAATATGCAAAATTGCAAAACATAAACCACATAATCCTCAATTCAGGAGCAGAAAAATTGTAGCTGATGTTGTAACTGAGTCTCGAAACAAGATGAGCTGATATTGTGGCATGTTATTCCAAGCTGACCACATCTAACCATTAAAAGTAACAGACTTTGAAGATAACGTGCACAGAGTGCTGACACTGTAGAGTTAAAATGTAATGAGAGTTCAAACTAAAACTGATGTACACATTGAAGATTATTAGTTATGTGTTAAAATTATCAGTTTATCAGTGAATGCTATAAATGTTTAATCAGTATAGGTTGTGTGTCATTGTACAGAATGGTGCATATCATTTTAATGCTGAGTTGTGCCATAATAGTTAACCGTAATCAGAAGAAGAGACTGACATCTAGGTAGTAGATTGTAAGAGGTGGAGTTTATTTGATGGTACATGGAGATATGGCATAGTGTAGGAGGAGGTGGACAGGTGATATGGTGTGGTTTCTGCGATCAGGAAAAGAAAATACATTAGAACATCAATACAGATTAAAGGGTAATATAGTTGGCTGCGAATTCCTCCACAACAACTCTGCTAAGGCTGCATCAATCTGATAACGCTTCTTAACAACGTTCATGTTTATTAAAGCACTACCCAAAATGGGCCACAAGATGACACTCCAATACAGGGATAAAATATTTATATTGAGGCAGTTAGTTAGCAGTTTGGCCCCTAGTTCACCACTATGTAATACAACAATATTACAGTGTACAAAGTCACATGAATTGGTAAAACAAGTAGGAACAAATAAAGCTGGAACAAGGCCAGAAACTATCAAATAACTGCCCCACCACAGCTATTGCTACTAGCACATGTGCCCAAGATAGCTAGAGTCAATACACATAAAGTACGCATCGTAAACATGGAACATGAATGTTTATTTGGCGCACAGCATTCACAATAAACACAGGATGGGCTATTTGCTTTTATTCTGAGCAGCTCTCTCCTGCATTGTTAGCCCAGGAATGCAGTCAGGCTATCTAGCTCAGGAGTTCCATGAATCCCATGACTACAAGGAGGCTGCTGGGTAATGAAGTTCACGTTAACACAGACTTTTTCTACAGTCATGTTTGATTTAGGTATCTTTATTACAGATTATATGTAACACAGCAAAAGGAAAGCATGAATGTGTAGGTTTATGTGTCTTTACAGTTACAGGTGAACATCTCAAGCGCAGCAGCAGTTGTGAAATTCTGCCACCTGACAGTGAGTCAAACTGAACCAAGTTAAATTATACTATTTTACTTTGTTTTAGATGGGTACTTTGAAAGGTATAAAAATTAATGTTTGTGTACTAGCTGACCTAACTTTTAATGTTTCACATTTAATTATGTTCATCTTCATTGTTTCATTGCTTTAGTTTTGATGATTTTAATGATGCTCTACACAAAAAGTACAAAGACTATAAAAATACTTTTCCATCCTTTGCCTTCTTTCAGGCTGGACACCCATTTAATTGTGTTGTAATAATTACCATTTCACTTTCACTGTGACCTAAGAGAAAGAAATATCAGCCAGTATTGAAATTAGTTATGATGTTTAAGTAGTCCAGCAGGGTTGATCATTTCTGTTACAAGGCATTTCTACACTGCACCCCCCCACACACACACACACACCCAAACCTGAACTGCAGTTTGATCCAGATTCAGTTGATAAGCTAATAAAGTTATTTCAGTGTTATTATATTGTTAAACATTTGAACAATTGTTTTTCAGTGCCTGAGCTGAGAGCCGTTTTGCTGGGGAACAGCTGGTCTGACAAGAGTTTGTTGGTGAACTTACTGCTGGGAGAGAACATTCTTTCCACTGAAGAAGAACTGAACATCTTTACGAAACACAACAGAAAGTTAAATGAGACAGAAGTAGTTCTTGTTAATTCTCCAGATCTTCTTCATCCGAACATGACCAAAGAAGCGCACATAGAAAAATGCATAGAATTCTCTATTCCTGGACCTCATGTGTTCCTGCTGATTCTACAGCCTGAAAACTTTACAGAGGAACATACACAGAAGCTAGAATCCTTCCTTGAACACTTCAGTTATCAATCATTTAAACATTCACTAGTAGTTATAAAACTCAAAGCAGAAAATTTAGATTGTACTAAACTTATTCAGCAAAATCAACTGTTAACAGACACCATCAAAAAATGTAAAGCTGATTTTTTGTGGGAGAAGGATCTAAAACAAAAGCTGCTATCAGCCATGGTCAACATAGTGAAGGAGAACAACGGAGATTATCTGAGTTTGGATATTTACAAAGAACCAACACATGGTATTCCATGTGACCATAAGCAAGCAAGGACAAAACTGAATCAAGGAGGGCTGGTCAGTGAGAGCTTGAACCCTGTTAAGGGTTCTGGTAAGTATAAAAACATGTAATGAATACAAGATGTGATAGTAATTTTGTTACTTATTCAATTACGTGAAATTTGTTCAGCTTTTTAAAAAAATATTTTGTGGCCATTTCATGGCTTTATTTGAAAGGGTACAGTGAAGAGCAATGTTCCCTCTAATTTTTCATGTGTCTGAGCGAACGCACAAACTCCCTGAGCTTGGACCACTGTGAGCAACAGCAGACGTGTGCACTGTGGTCACGCCAGCATCCAATCATCCAAGTCACATGGTTTATGAAAATAATCAAATTATAGCATTTTTTAAACAAACATTTCAAACTATTTACAGAACAATCAGCTGTTCTGCATCAAATCTGATGCCACACAAATTATTTGTGCCACTCCAAAAAATAATTTCTGTCCACTCTGAGATGAAGGAGAACAACAGCCTGATACCTGCAGGCCTGACAACAGCAGATGTATCACTGCTGTAACACCTGTAACATTCAGCGCTCGCCTCATTGTTCTGACACACAACAACACTATTGACTACACTACACACTAACTACACACTAACTACACACTAACTACACAAGATTTGCGCTAAATGTCGCAAATCTCTCACATCTCAAAACACCGCCGTCACTCCTAAAACTTCCTCCTGTTTCTTAACAACTAAATGCCATGTTTTGATTAGTCGACATGGTACATTTTTCGACCAATAGGAAAGGGTGTGGGGGTTGGGAGGGGGCAGAAAGCGCTTTCGAGCATTTTCCTTATAAAACACAGTTTTTACCGTTTCTTCCCGCAGTAAATATAAACAACGACAGTGTCATGGTACGGAGCCTGTGACTCCGTGTTTATGTTATTATTATGAATAGAATATAACATTTTGTAAACAGTTACCTCAGAAGCTGTACTGTCAGCCCTATGTATGTAAGGTAAAACTTTCCACAGTACTTCCACTTAAGTAACTAAACACATAAAGTCACCCTTACCAATAATCCACTGCTCCTTGAAAAAAGTAGCACAAACAGACAACTGACTCAGCAATGATAAGTAGAGATACCCTAGGCCGAGACTCAAGCAGAAGAAAATTAAAAGTTGTTGTTTTTGTGGCTCGGAAAATTAAAGAAAGTATGTTTAATAATTCAACAAGACCCGCACCTTCAACATTGCTGTTGTTCAATAGTTTTTATCCGTTCGAAAAAGTCACTTTACGGCTTTAATGTTTCCAGCTGATAAGGAGAATGACGGCATTTCAAATGTGCATCCAAAGGCTTTAAACATCCGCTTTGTCTGTAATGACAGTATCAAACTACAGAGCATTGTTTTTACTAAAATGAAACATTTTCAGATGAAAATTTGGCTGCTTTTTGCTTTTTTCACTGTAACAACCCCCTCAATGCAATTTTTAGGATATTCTCGGTGATCCCATTTTTTTCATATTTATGCAAACAGGGTCTATTCTCAGCAAATACCTTTAAACACAGCTCATCTCTCAGGGGTAACATAATTTTACTCACCCTTCGCTACGATCGCCCTCTCTTCATTAGCGCGTTTCTGTCTGATTTCTCAGACTTTTTATCTGATTTAGTGCTCGGCTAAATTATTGTGGGTGATTTTAACATTCATGTAGATGCTAAAAATGACCGCATCAGCATGGCATTTAAAGCCCTCCACAAAGCCAAAACATTTTACTATTCATCACTGAAGAATATAAGAACAACCCTATGTCTGTGAAGGTTCTCAGTCATCCAGGTCATCATAGTCTAAGGAGCTTAGAAAGAAAAGCGTCTGGACTTACCAGACGCTCCAGAGAGCACAAAATCAGCTTCTAAGTGAAAGGATAAGACAGGTCCATTTCACTATAGATGCCCTCCAGATAAAGATCAGCCAGACTCTACAGGAACTAGAAACCCTTCTACCCTCTCCAGTCTTAGAAGAGGTTTACAAGTTTGTGGACAAGGCTCAGCGGGCCCAACACTCTAAAGAACAACCCCAGGATTCTTTTCAGCACTGTAGGCTGACAAAAAGTCAGAGCTCAGTTTAGCCAACCATCCCTTCAACATTAACTAGTAATAACTTCTTGAACTTCTCCACAAATAAAATTTTAACTATTAGAGACAGAATTTCTCATAATCGTGCCACAGATGTAATATTATCTACAGCTACTTTCAGTACCATTGATATTCATTTAGACTCTTTTTCTCCAATTGATCTTTCAGAGTTAACTTCAATAATTACTTCCTCCAAACCATCAACGTGTCTTTTAGACCCCATTCCTACAAAACTGCTCAAAGAAGTCCTGCCATTAATTAATGCTTCAATCTTAAATATGATCACCCTATCTCTAATAATCAGCTATGTACCACAGGCCTTCAAGCTGGCTGTAGTTAAACCTTTACTCAAAAAGCATCTCTAGACCCAGCAGTCTTAGCTAATTATAGGCCAATCTCCAACCTTCCCTTATATCAAACATCCTTGAAAGAGTAGTTGTCAAACAGCTAACAGATCATCTGCAGAGGAATGGTTTATTTGAAGGGTCTGTGCAGGCTCTCAGACATCCAGGTCATGGTAATCTAAGGAGCTTAGAGTTTATTGAAGAAGTTTCACCTCTTGTGTTCAGTTCCTTTCAGTTCCATTCAGAATGGAGAGGAACTCCCTTCTGGAGATCCTTGGGCATCAATACCATCTGGGCTTCAGTTAACCATTCTAGGTGCATCTGATCCATTAGCAACTGGTTCATGTGTGCTCCCGGGCACTCATTGGATGTCGTTAACTTCTTTATCCACTATGTGTGACTCAAGCCACACTGTCAAGTCACCTGTGACATTCTTTTTTGGATGACTGCCACCGTGATGGTTACTGGAGCCTTTTCAGAGAGGTTGCTGTGTTCTGTCCTAGATCCAGTAGCCACTGAGCATTGATGTTATGTGTTGTATACTACTCCCACTGCCACTGAGAGAGTACACCTTGGATGGTTTATTGAAAAACATCTTATTCTCCTGGCTTCTATCTCTCTGGTATACCTGTTCAAGCAGTTAGCCAAGACTGCAAGTCTTTACTTGACAGTTTCTGAGGCCTCTGGTATGGACAGCTTGTTGTGAGTCTTAGGCATCCATTTTTTAATAGCTGCTTTCTGCAACTCTGGCAGTTGGCTAACCCCTTTCAGTGGGGTAACATGCATAGTAGCATTCTAACAGTTTCCTTATTTTGTCTCTTGTCCACTCGTGCTGTAGTCTTGTTCTTTCATTTGAGGATATCCACTCATTGGATGAATGGTTTAGGAGTTTAAGCTCCCTCACATGTGCCACCTTATTTAAAGTAAGTGGACAATTGACTTAAAGGCTATTTAATGGCAGGTGTGAGCAATTTTTTCATTATGTCATTATCAACTAGATAAAAGGCCTGGAGTTGCTTTAAAGTGTGGTACTTACATTTGGAAGATTTTCCTGTGTACAGAACACATGTAGTCAAAGGGGCTCCCCAAGACTAAACTTGGGACAGAAAGGCCCACAAACAAACAGTGACTGAAAGCTGCTGCAGTAAAAGCCTGGTAGAGCATTAAAAAGGACTAAACCCAGCATCTGGTGATGTCCATGAGTGCAAGACTTCAGGCTGTCATTTCAACAAAGGAGTTTCAACAATGTATTAGAAATGAACATTTCATTTTCACTTATTTTATTGCCCAATTACTTTAGAACCCCTGAAATGAAGGGACTGTGTTAAGTTTTAGTTTGTCACATTTTATACAGTCTTTTTGTTTAACCCACTCAAAGCTGAAGGTCTGCACTTCAACTGCATCTGAGTTGTTTCATTTAAAATTAATTGTGGTGATGTACAGAACCAAAATTAGAAAAACATCTCTGTCTAAACATTTGTGGACCAAGCTTTATATAATGTGAGACACAAAAGGGTGGAAGTGGAAATGGATTGGTAACAAGATGCAGATGATAATAATGAAGACAATCAAATACTAACAAAATACAATAACAATAAAGGTAAAATGTAAACAATAAGCACACTAATAATCAAAAAGGAAAATATTTAATAATAAAAAGAACTTTAATATCTAAATACAAAATTCTGGGTCAATGACTATTGACCACGATAATCGTCATGTGCGAATTGCTTTAGTTTGTAGCCAGTTCCAAGTTAAATCCATTTTAGCAATTGGAGTTTGTTGGGTTTAGAAAGCACATCTTTAGTGCTGAGGGAAATTGCCAAGAAGATGTTTGTTTTAACCTCTGGACAGAAGAAAGAGGACAAGGAGACCTTGTGGTAGAATGAGGAAGCACAGGAAATAATTCAAGGGAAGAGGTTAGTTACATGTGTGTGAATGAGAGGGAGACAGGTGTAGCAGTGAAGCTGCAAAGAGTAGCGATAGTGAGGGTATAAGTGTTTAAAGAGGAGCAGAAATAAGAAGAAAAAAGAAGTTACAAAAGTAAATGTTTTCTAGTAGCAGCAATTCCAGCAGACTTAACTACAGATTAATACCAAACTTAAGAACATTTATAAATTGTTTGTTATGTAAATTCCAGTGGAAGTATAATGATTTATTTAAGATCTTTATTTATTTACAATATGATTTATTTGATCTTTTTTTTTTACAGGATGTGCACTGAGGATCGTATTATTTGGAAAGAGTGATGACAAAAAAATAGCACTGGAAAATATCATCACTGGAAAAAGAGAGAGCAATTTTAGTCTTAAACCTTCAACCAAACACTGTGTGGCAGCCAGTGGCGAGTGGAACAAGAACCCAATAACAGTAGTGAGAATGCCAGACTTGTTCAATCTGTCTGTGCAAAGAGTGAGACAAGAGCTGAAGAGGTGTGTGAATCTCTGTCATCCTGGACCAAATGTTCTGCTGTTAGTGAAACCTTCTGATTTCACTGAAGAGGACAGGAAAATTCTGAAATTCATCTTGAGTCTGTTTGGTCAAGAGGCTTTTAAACACTCCCTGGTTTCTATGACATACAATGAGAAAAGGGATAACTCAGTGGAAAAACTCATCCAGGACTGCCAAGAAAGGGTGCACAGATTTAGTATTGATAAAAAAGATTTCAAACAAGACCAGCAAGAATTGATGGAGAAAATTTAAAAAATTCTGAGTGAGACTAAAGAAGGATATTTGACTTTAAACGATGAAGCAGATTTTGTGGCAATGTTTAACAGATCAAAACCTCTTCTGAACCTGGTGTTGTGTGGTAGAAGAGGAGCAGGGAAGACCTCAGCAATTAATGCTATTCTGGGACAAAAGAGGTTTGATCCACCTAGCAACTCATCAGAGTGTGTTAAACATCAGGGAGAGGTGTGTGGACGTTGGGTTTCCCTGGTGGAGCTGCCTGCCTTGTATGGAAAACCTCAGGAGGCAGTGATGGAGGAATCACTCAGGTGTATTTCCCTCTGTGATCCTGAGGGTGTCCATGCCTTCATCCTGGTCCTACCTGTGGCTCCCCTCACTGATGAAGACAAGGGAGAGTTAGAGACCATCCAGAACACATTCAGCTCTCGAGTCAATGACTTCACCATGATTCTGTTCACTGTCAAGTCAGATCCTAAGGCTCCAGCTGTTGGTAATTTTATAAAGGGAAACAAGAACATCCAGGAGCTCTGCGAGAGCTGTGGAGGAAGATCTGTTGTCGTCAACATCAAGGACAAACAAGAGGTCTTCAAGATTTTCAGCATTTTGGAAAAAATTACTCTAAAATCTAAAGAGAGCAAATTATGCAGCTACACAACTGAAACCTTTGCAACTGCACAAATAGAAAATATAATAAAAAAAGAGAAATGTATCACTGAATTGCAGGCTGAACTTAAGGACCTGAAAACAAAAGGTACAGTCAGCTGTAAGTAATGCACATTTTTATAAATGCCATTATGTTTATGTTGTAAACATTTCCCTTTTAATTAATAATATTTAAACTGTCAGTATCCAATTTAACTCATTCCAACTCATTTTATAGGTAATGAAGAGATGCAGAGCCCAGACTGTCTCAGGATTGTGCTCATTGGAAAGACTGGTTGTGGAAAGAGCTCTTCAGGAAATACCATTCTAGGACGAGATATATTTTTATCTAGCCCTTTCCAAAAGTCAGTCACCAAACGTTGTCAAAAAGAACAGGGCAATGTGAACGATTATCCTGTTGTTGTGGTCGACACTCCTGGACTGTTTGACAACAGTTTATCACATGAAGAGATCAATGAGGAGATGGTGAAATGTGTCAGCCTCCTGGCTCCAGGACCACACGTCTTCCTGCTGGTGTTACAGATCGGCAGATTCACCCCAGAGGAGAAGGAGACACTGGAACTGATCAAGAAAGTCTTTGGGAAGAACTCCGAGAAGTTCACCATTGTTCTTTTCACAAAAGGAGATACACTGGAACATGCAAAGGTGTCTGTTGAAGAATACATTGAAAAATCTGATGATTCCTTTAAGAAGCTGATCTCTGACTGTGGAAGAAGGGTGTATGTGTTTAACAACTATGATAAGCAAAACCGCTCACAGGTCAGTGAGTTGATAACAAAGATTGACACCATGGTGAAGGAAAATGGAGGAAACTGCTTCACCAATGAGATGCTGCAAGAGGCTGAAGCAGCGATACAGAAAGAAATGCAGAGGATCCTGGAGGAGAAGGAAGAAGAAATGAAGAGACAGAAGGAGGAGCTTGAAAGAACATATGAGGAAAAAATCCAGTTGATGAAAAAAAGAATGCAACAACAGAAAGCAGAAATTGATCATGAAAGAAATCTGAGAGAGAAACAACTTAAAGAACTTCAGGACAACATCTGCTTTCAGTCCGAAGAGAGGAAGAAAGAACAAAAACTCAGAGAAGAAGAAGACAGGAGGAAGAGAGAACAGGAAGAACTTCAAAGACGAGAATGGGAACAAACAATACAAGAACTTGAGGAAAAACTACGATCAGAGTCACAATCAAGGGAAATAATCGATAAAGAGTGTGAAAATTACAGAGAAAGAATAAGAGAGCAGCAAAAGACTTGGGAGAAGGAAAGAAAAGAATTGGAGGAAAAACGAAAACAAGAAGATGAAGAGAAAGAACAGAAAATCAGGGAGCTTCAAGAAAAATACAATCAAGTAAAAGAAAAGTTGGAACATGAAAGAAAAGAAAAAGAGGAAAGAATAAAAAGAGAACAGGAAAAGAATCTGAAAGAGTTAAAGGAGAACTATCAGAAACAAACTGAGAACATGCAGGAAGACTTAGGGAGGGTTAAAGAAGAAGCCAGAAAAAAAGCTGAAGAATTCAATGAATTTAGAGAGAAAAAGGAGAAGGGTTTTGCAGAACTGATTCAAAAACACATTGACGAGATAAAGAAACTGAAGGAGCAACATGAGAAAGGCATGCAAGACAAGAAGGGAGAATACGAAAGATTAAAGGATCTGTCAGACCACAAAGAAAATAGTCTGAAGAGAGAAATGGATGAACTGCAGGATAAACATAAATCAGAAATAACGGAATTAATCCTCATGCTTCTAACTCAGAAGAAAGAAAACAAGACTGAAATAAAAAGAATGCAGGAATCATATAGATTGAAGGTGGAAAGGTGTGAAAAAAGACTTTTAAAGGATAACAAAGAAGAGGAAAAGGAAGAAATTGGTAAATTAAAGAAGAAACAAAAAGAGGAAATGAAAAACTTAAAGGAGAAACTAGGATCTAAAAAAACAGAGGAACAGAAAGCAGAAAGAAACAGGCTGTCCATCAAACATGAACAAGAAATGTCAGATTTGAAACATAAACTTTTAGACCAACATCAGCAAAAACAGAAGGTTGAACTGGATAACTTACAAAAACAACATGAGCAAAACCTGAAGGCATTCAAAGAAGAGCTTCTAGAAAAAAGTGGAACAAATGAGAGAGAAAAACTTGATGAACTGCAGAAGAAGCATGAAAAAGAAATGAATGAATTGAAACAGAAACTTGGAATGCAAGATGAAGACGGTACCAGGCAAGAACTAGATGAAATACAGAAAAAACATGCTAAAGAGATAAGTGAGTTGAAAGAGAGACTATGGACTTCAGAGGAGGAAAAGTCGTGCTTTGTCTCATGACCAAAACTGTTAAGTCACAAAGAGATATTTCATCTACACACATTAATAATGTAACTTTAATCATCTTTACTGTTGTCCACAATTTGTTGTGGTTGCCACTTCTAGTCTCAACCCATAGATAAGAAACCTATAAAACCTTTTTCCATTTTGTAACATCACAATAATAAACATCAGCCAACTGTCAAGATGAGTCCTAATTAGTACAAAGTATTACAGAATTAAAATACTAAAAACTACTAAAGGGTCCAGAATCCAGATGTCCTGAGCTTCTGAAGCTAGTCCTGTCAGGTATTGAGTCTAAATGCCCAGTGGCGCTCCAGCCTTCCAGACTAGATAAGGTCTCGAAAGTTCAGAGCTTGTGCCAACAGAGCTCCCTGAACTTGATCCGAGACCTGACCTCATCCAAATCCCCAGAGCCACTGAAATTAGATCTTATCATGACTTAGAGGATGTCACACCTGCTAATCCAGGGCCAGAGAGTTCTAGAGAGCCCCAACCAGAGACTGTATCTTTGCCTACATCTGATGATGATGGACCCCGATCAAAGAGTGCTTTACTGCCCTTGTTGGAAAACGTCAGGACTCCAGCCAGGAACTATGCGTATGCTGGATGACGTCAGGCCCCAGTCAGAGACTACGCAGCTGATCGGCTCTTCTCTGTCCGTGGTGTTTGTGCGAGCTTCTTAAGCCTGATTTACCTTTGACACTTCAAAAGACTGCACTTCTTGTTCACATGCTGGTTAACTTTGTGAATCCTGTTAGCCCTTGGGTCCCACACAACAAAGAAATAATTAGGTATGTTGTTTATGCCAGGCTGCTGGTCTATCTAGTTTTGTCTTAATCAAAAGGAGCTAGTCGGCACACAATTAGACTTCTCTCCCAATAACAAAGTTTTCAGTATGTTTCAGTGATCCGTGTTTTCTGCTGACAATATGTACTATTTTAAGGTAAAATAGCGTTGGTATTACAACAACAAAACATCAGTCGCCTTGAGGTGATGTTTTAAATTAAATTGAATTGAATTGTTAGTCACAGTAGTTATACATTACATTAGTATTAGTTCCAGGACACATTTTCCCTTATCAAGTTATATTTAATTAAACACTTGTTCTTATTAGGGAAACTTTTCAATGTCAGAATTTTGTTTGTATTGGAGGATTTCTGTCCTGTATTACTATCTTTATTTGAAAAGAACCAACTGTCATGATGATCAAAAATATTTTTTTTATGAAAACATGACCGAAAACGTGGTATTACATTTCTGAAATATGTAGAATTAGTTCTGTGATATTAGGTATTTTTCTGAAACTCATCAATTATGGGGATTGGTTATAACCATCAACTATTTGCTTTTTATTATCACTTACTATTACAACTTTTTTGTTGGGAGATAAGCCTGTGGTGCATTTTTCTTCATATTTCAGGACCTTTTTCATGTTTTACTTTGTGTATTATGTATGGCTTTTTTATTCAACAGTATATTAAATAAATCATAATAATATAAATCAAACAAATTCTTTTCTTAATTATTTTTTCCTTGTAAGCTGGGATTACAGATGTTAAAGTTGTAGATTTCAGCTTTACACAGTGAACTTGTTTTTATTAAACCACCCCTTTTCTGGATTACTGATACACGTGAAAATAAACCAAGGGGAGAAACGAAGTAGGGACACTAAAATGAGGTGACTATGGTAAAACAGAAAACTATGAATAAACTGTGACTAGACTTATGACAACTATGAATACTATGAACACTAAGGACACTATAAATGATCCGTAAGGATAACAAGAAATACTGTGACTTGATGTGGGGTAAGTAGCACAGACGACACAATGCTGAACACAGGAAGACAGAGGACTTAAATACACACTTGAGGTGATTAGGGGAAGTGGGGAACATGGGGAAAAAGCTGACTAGAATGAACCAAATGACACCACAGTGGAAGTTAAACTAAAGCAGTGAACATTGAACACAAGTACCCTTCAAAGTAAAAGAGAAACCATAAATATGATGCAGATGTGACATGAGTTAGACAGACAGGACACATAACAGACGAGACTCACTGAACAGACCCATCACAAAAAAAAAAAAAAAAAAAAAAAAAGTTTGTTGGCGGCGAACGTCACCTGGCAGGCGCAGTGAGTGCTGGAACTGGAGGTGATCTGGCAGGCACCAGGTACTCTGCAGGTGGACGTAACCTGGCATGGCATTGACCTCTGGCTGGGTCAAAGCTGGACCAGACAGTGGTATGTCAACCACAGGTGATGGAGCTGGACCAGACAGTTGCATGGCAACCGCAGGTGATGGAGCAGGTGGTGGCACTGCAGACGACAGAGTAGATGCCACTGGCAGTGGTGCTGGAGGTGACGGGATGGTAGGCGCAGGTGGTTTGATTGATTGATATACCTTTATTAGTCCCACAAGGGGAAATTTCATAAGGCTGCCGACCTATTGCACGCAATGGCGGCGCCATCTTACCCTCCGACCATACATACATTACACAAAACATCACATGGGGAAGACAGGTCAGAGAGGTATAACAATGGAAAATGCACAACATGAGGAAAGATAAGGAGAAAAAATAACTCCCCCCAGACTGAGCTCCAACAGGGAGATCAGTTTGAGAACAGAAAAAAAAACCACCAATGCACATGAAAAAACTCTTAATACACCAAAGAAACACATGACAAGCAACAGGGGTGGGTAAAGGGTGAGAGACAGCCAATTTAGACAGCACATCCGGGCCTGCGTGCGCTGGACTCCTTGATCCACCGTCAGCATCAGAGGGGAATAAGCGTCGAAGGCGTTTGGAGGGGGAGGGGGGATGAGTGTATATATGTATATGTATGTGTGTGTGTGTCCATAGTTCAGCTGAGACAGTGTCCTTCGCCCTGCCGGGCTAAGTAAACAGTCTACCAGCCAACCCAGGTGGCCTTGCATGGAATGGGAAGAACAGACTAAACACAGTCGTTATCAGGGTGTTGTTGTTCGGCTCCAGCCTTGAGACCGCAGCTGGCGCCGAAGGGGTAGCCGCATTATGATGGTGATTTTTCTTTTACAAACAACTCATGAGAATTTCAAGCTGTTTTTAACACTCCGACACTGGTCTGTCAATCTCCTGTTGGATAGCTGCGAGTTTCTTCATGATGTTATTTACCTTCAGTTCCGTGGTCTTGTCATTCTTTTGATCACAGAGCAGATTCTGAGACCTCACGACCACAGCCAACTGATTCGTGATGTATTCCAGCTTCTGCCCATAGGTGTTGTTCTGAGCGGATTCTTCCCTGATGTATCCCAATATCCGCTCAGAGATGTTATTCTGAGTATTTACTGCAACCGCAAGCACCTCCAAGCTCTTAACCATGCTGCCTTCCGTGAGCCCATTCTGAGAAGTCGATTCAATCCCAGCGGGCAGCCTTGGGGAGGTTTGAACAGCCGGTTCCGCTTTCTTAATTCTCCGATAAGCCAGGGCCAAGCCAGCTCCGATCAGCAAGAACCCTGTTATCATGGTTCCGAATAGGTAGATATCTTCAGCGTCCTCGATCGACAGTCCCGCCAGGCACACGATCCTCCATTTCTGCCACCCGTCCATCGTGTATCCGGCAGGGAAAGTCCGTCCAGGGCACTCGGGCTCTCCCGAGCCCAGACTTCTCGTTGAGAAAAGGGTGACAATAGCATTCAGAGACCAGTTGATCAAATCCATAATTCTCTTTTAGATTTTAGACACAGACTGTGAGAGAGTGTTCCAGGGAAAGTAATACAAAGAACACGAGACTAGACAAAGACATAAGAAGCTAAGCAGGGAAGATAAGGGAAAGGAGAGGAGAAAAATGCGACCGCCCTCGCTGAGAGCCAAAGAGAAGTCCTGTAGGCCTGTAGCGCAAGAAGTGACTGGACAGACTCACCAGAGCCGCCAGTGGACACGAGGAGGTGGTGTCTGGGCTATCCAGAACTCCCAGTGGAGACGAGGCACGGCTGGAGCGGTTCTCCTCAGCAGCCAGCTGACGAGACGTAATGGGCTGGCTCTCCAGAACCCCCAGCCGATTTGGCGTGATGCTCAATGGGTACTCTTGAACCCCCAGCTGATGTGACGTGAGGCTTGATGGATTCTTCTGAAACCCGAGCTGGCGAGATGGACGCAGATCCAGCAGGTGCAGAGACCTCTGGCTGGGATGAAGCAGAGGGTGCCGTGGCTGGGGTTGCACAGTGCAGACAGCCTGTTGAGCCAATGACAATAATCCAAAGTTTATAGTGGACTGGATGAGCTCAAATGAGCTCTTAGTTGCAGATGGAAGGTCCTGCACTGGCTCAATAGCCTCCAGGGGTCCAGAGTTTGCTGAGGCCTGAAGCTCAGCATCTGGGGAAGCCCTGGAAAGAGTTTTAATCTCTGAAGTGGCTGGTTCGGCCACACACAAAACATCGTTAGCATGACAGTCTGTCACCGCCAGAGGCCAGTAGGGGGAAACAGACTCTAAGGCAGACAACACTCGGAGACGCAGGGACCGAGGGTGACCAAGCTTTATTTACAGTGGTGTAATTGATGCAAACAGCGAACAATGGTGAGAGATGCTTAAGGTGCTTACCATAACTGTCAAGGAGTGCAGTGTGGCCGGCAGGAGTAGGGCCCAAAATGCAGGCGCTCAGACTCAAGGTGTTAACTCAAAGTCACAGCTTTATTGGCTGGCAGGAAAAAACATACAAACTAAACTGGGAAACAACAAACTAAAACTCACAGGGAGATCCACACAGCAAGAGGGACGACGCGACACTGACTCAGAGAAACACAGGGTTTAAATACACTGGGAAGTAATGAGGGGAATGAGACACAGGAGGGCACAGCTGGGAGAAATCAGGACTGACGAGACAAGGAAAGCAGGACGCATTCACATAAGACACGGACCTTCAACGTAAAACAGGAAGTACGACATAGAGACGCGAACTTGACACGGTGGAGACAGCAACTAAGAAACACAGAGACAAACCATAAGGTAGAGGACTCTAAGAACCGAAAGACACAGAGGTAAACTCAAACATGCAGATACAGACTTACACAGAACAGAGGGTACACAGAGAAACATGAAGGGCAAGGGATCAAAACTAGAAACCATAGAATAACTCACACAAGTACAATAATACAAAAAGCACAAAGAACTAAACATGCTGGGTCAGGGGACCCAGGACCCTGACAATAACCTAGAATTGCTCAAAGTAATCACGGAATAACTCAAAAACACTCTTTGGAACTGAGGGCCAGCGGCAACCGAATGTAAACTTAAAACACGCTAGAAACTTGACTCTGGAACATGAACTTAGAATATGATTGGAAATAACATTAGCTTTGAGGCACACTATAATTCGTAATTCTTCACTTAGAGACACACTGGTTTAACTCAATGATTCAAAACCTTTCACTGTGAAACTGTCACTTTCTGCGTGGCAGACCGTGGGGATGAGGAAAGTAGGACCCAAAATGCAGGACTCTGCAATGCCACAGTGCACTTTATTTACAGTGAAACCTACAGGTAAGTCCAACAATTCACTCAAAAATGCAATTTGCCAATAGTGCTCGTCCCTTGCTCCCAGTGCGTCCCGTGCTGTAGCTGCCTTAGAGTGTGTGCTCCCCAACTCGCTTCTCCGCTCGACTCTCCTGGAGGAAGAAGGAAATTCCACAATTAGCCACACGCTAGCTGACTACCAAGAACACACGTCTCGCACAGACTATACCAGTCAGGGGTAATAATCCCACGTCGACTGTCGCCGCGAGTCCAGGTTAAATACCTCCTTCTAGCCCGGGAGATGATTACCAACCGCTGATCAGGTAATCACCTGCAGGTGGGCCGGCAACAGCGAGGAGGGACTCCCGATGACGACAGTCACGGCACGCACTTCCGTAAACAACCCCGAGGACTGGGGGGAGAGAGAGAGAAGCACACACACACACGCACACACACTCTACATACAAACGTGGACAGAACAGTAGACGACACAGACCCCAAATAGTAATAATAATAATAATAATAATAATAATAATAATAAAAAGCAGCATTCTATCACCTCAGACATTTATCGAAGGTTAATCCGTTTCTTTCCAAGCGTGACTTGGAAACTGTTATTTACACCTTTATTACTTCACCTTTGGATTATTGCAATTCCCTTTTAATATGGGTTGGGCAGAGTACCTTGTCACGCTTGCAACTAGTGCAAAATGCTGCGGCACGATTTTTAACTGGTAGAAGGAAATTTGATCATGTGACTCTGGTTTTGGCCTCTCTAAATTGGCTTCCAATTGAATTTAGGATCCGTTTTAAGGTCCTTATATTGGTTTTTAAATCTCTAAATGGTCTGACACCTGTTTATTTGTCTGATTTCTTGTAGCCCCATGTCCCCATTTGTTCGCTTCGGTCAGCTGAGCATCTGTTGCTTTCAGTTCCTAAGTCAGGGCTGAAGCTTAGAGGAGACCGAACGTTCTCTATTGCGGCTCATATTTGGAATAACCTTCCTCTCCATATAAGACAAGCTACATCAGTGCCAGTTTTAAGTCCAGATTAAAAACCTATTTTTATTGTAACTCTGTGGGTAACTGACATTTTTATACATTTTATTGCTATGTTTGGTTTTTTGATTTTGTATTACTATATTTGTATTTGCATTGTACATCACTGTACCCACATTTCCGAGGACCTATCCTGGACTACAAACACATCAAAGCCCAGCAGCGCCTCCATTTTCTGAGGGTTCTGAGATGGAACAGACTGCAGACTGACCCACTAGTCCTTCTATCATGCCACTATCAAGAGTGTGCTGGAGCATGCCATCCCTGTGTGGTATGCTGGTCCTCCCTGGACTTAATTGCCAGCACTAGATGTCTCTCCAGAACCAGGGCAATTATAAAAGACCCCCTCCATCCTAACCATCTATCTATCTATCTATCTATCTATCTATCTGCCATTTGTTTTCTGTGCAATATTTGGGCAAAGTGTCTTGTGCTGTAGTGAAGGATGACATGAGAATGTGGTAATGAGTCCTGTCTCATTGATGACAGCACAGGCGCTGCCTAGCCTTTTTGGTCTGGACCTGAATGTGGGCAGACCATGTCAGGTCTGAGGAGATGTGGACACCAAGATACTTGAAGGACTGCACCCTCTCCACTGGAGCTCAATTGATGATAATGGGCTTGTAGTCTCTGTGCTGACTCCGTCTGAAGTCCACCACCAGCTCCTTGGTCTTGCTGACAATCAGAGATTTCCACTCGTTGCTTCTCTAAAAATTCAAGGCTCATTCCATACATTTGAGTTTTATTCAATATGAACAAGCACTTTTGAAATCATGAACCTCCCACCACTAGTAGGAGCTGTGATGCCAATGTTTAGGCTGTTATTTAATCAGTGACATCACCAGACAGAATCTGGCAGTAGAGAGACAGAGCCAAAGATTTTTCACCTGCTGTGTTATTGATTGAATCATTTTGGAGTTTGTCAACTCTGAGTTTGTTTACCTGAAAGAAATATTAAATCGTATTTGAAACAGTGGACATCTTTGGTTGCTTTTGGTCATTTCATTTCATTGCATGTGTGGAGACAAATGCTCTGCTGTGACAACCTCAAACTGGTAGATAACTATGTCATTACACTCGGTGTTTATCAGCCTTTAAAGATCATTTTTATTTGATGACACTTTATTCCTCCAGCATCATGCTCGTACTCTCTTGGCTGACAAATACTTATTTTATAAAGATAAGGGATAAAAAGGATGATAATTTTCAATTGCCTAGATAGAACAACAGGAACACATGGAAAAATAAATTTCCAGTTTTTTTAATCATCAAGAAGAACAGCATAAAGGATAGTCATATATATTTAATACTGAATATTTATAAAATTACAACAAACATCCAAATATCTAATAACCAGCTGAAGCTTCTTCTATTGTTTAATATGGTACTACATGAAAATAATCAACCAAAAAATTAAACTGCTTCAAAATGTTCCATAACCTGAAGAGTTACATGGCAGTAATTCATACTACACATGTCAATGACTCACAAAAGAAAAAAAATGGAACGCAATCCTGAAAATAAGAATTTATAAGATAAATAAAGAATTCTGTCTGTAACTGTAAAATGTTCACAAATTGACCATAAAATTTATGAATTTGTATCTGATCAGTTAGAAAATCATAAGCAGTTTAATCTGGATTCTGTTGCGCTCGATTAAGTACATTCAGATCTATAAGCATCAGCACACACACTGGTATTCTCATCTCAACATTTAACTAAATGTACAGAAAATCTTTTATTCATGGAGCTCTGTCACAAAAACACAAAAAAATCCCCTCATGAAATGCTGCAACGAGATGTTGTTTCAACTTCATCCAGAAGTTTTTGTATTTGTTCACTTAATTCTGTTTCATGGATTTTCTGCAGGTTTTCTTTTTCTTCCTCATTTTTTGCAATCTTCATTTGATCCTCGTGTTTTATCAGCAAGTCTTTGAGTTTTTTCACGTTCCCTCTCTTCTTGGAAAGACATTTTATCACATCTTTGATTTCTGCTTGATGCTTTTCTCTCTTTTGTTTTTCAGTGTGGTCAGCCAGAGCCTTTAACAGGTCATACTTCTCATCTTTGTCTTTAATCTTCTTCTCGTGCTCCTCCTTCTGAGCTGCGAACTCTTTGTTTTTGTTCACTTTGAAATCATTGAACTCTTCAGCTTTCTTTCTGGCCTCATCTTCATGCATCTTCTTCAGATTTTCCACACGTATTTTATAGTTTTCCTCCAGCTGATTTCGTTCTTTCTTCTCCTCTTCTCTCCTCTTTTTGTCTTCTTCTTTTCTTTTCTTTTCATTTTTTTCTATTTCCTGCTTGTACATTTCTTCAAGGTTTTCAAGTTTTATTTGCTGTTTTTCTTGTCTCTGTTCATCTTCTTGTCTTTGTTTCTCCCACCATTCACTTCGTTCTTCCTCCCAGGCTTCTTGTTTTCTCTTCATCTCTTCTCTGTTCTCTTCCAGCTTTTGATCCACACTTTTCTTTTCCTCTTTTTCTGAATGAATTTGTTTGTCCAACATTTCAAGTTGTGTTTTCAAATTCTGTCTGTATAATTCTTCCTCATTTTTCCATTTCCTGTTCTCTTCTTCTCTCATTTCCTGTTCTTTCTTTCTCTCTTCACGCTCCTTCTTTATATTTTCCTCCATATCCTTGAGTTTCTGGTCTCTTTCCTGCTGAAGTTTTTTCTTCTCTTCTTCCATTCTTTTTGTCATTGCTTTAATTTCTTCCTCATGTTTTCTTTCAAGCTCCTCTCTCAGTCTCTTCATCTCTTCTTCCTTCTCCTTTAGGATTCTCTCTACTTCTTTCTGTATCGCTGCTTCAGCCTCTTCCAGCATCTCATTGGTGTAGCAGCATCCTCCATTGTTCTTCACCATGGTGTCAATCTTTGTTATCAACTCACTGACCTGTGAGCGGTTTTGCTTATCATAGTTGTTAAACACATGCACCCTTCTTCCACAGTCAGAGATCAGCTTCTTAAAGGAATCTTCTGAGTTTTCAATGTATTCTTCAACAGATACATTTTCATGTTTCAGTGTATCTCCTTTTGTTAAAAGAATGATGGTGAACTTTTCTGAATTCTTCCCAAAACCTTTCCTGATCAGTTCCAGTGTCTCCTTCTCCTCTGGGGTGAATCTGCCGATCTGTAACACCAACAGGAAGACGTGTGGTCCTGGAGCCAGGAGGCTGATGCATTTCACCATCTCCTCATTGATCTCTTCATGTGATAAACTGTTGTCAAACAGTCCAGGAGTGTCGACCACAACAACAGGACGGCCGGTGACATCACCCTGTTCTTTTTGACAGCGCTTGGTGACCGACTTTTGGAAAGGTTTAGATAAAAATGTATCTGCTCTTCCTAGAATGGTGTTTCCTGAAGAGCTCTTTCCACAGCCAGTCTTACCTATCAGCACAATCCTGAGACACCCCGTGCTCTGCATCTCTTCATTACCTGCATACAATGTCAACAGTCAGTACAGTCTACCATTCTACATCAAATTCAATTCAATTCAATTCAATTCAATTCAATTTTATTTATATAGCGCCAAATCACAACAAAAGTCGCCTCAGGGCGCTTCATAGATACAGAGAAAAACCCAACAATCATATGACCCCCTATGAGCAAGCACTTTGGCGACAGTGGGAAGGAAAAACTCCCTTTTAACAGGAAGAAACCTCCAGCAGAACCAGGCTCAGGGAGGGGTGGGGCCATCTGCTGTGATTGGTTGGGGTGATCAAACATGGGTTAGAGGGAGAAAAAAGAAGAAGAAGGTACTTACAAGCAGCAGTGCTTCTGTTCTGTGCAAGTTGGGTGATGAATTTCTCTTGTTGTAACATCTTCTCTAGTTGGGCTTGTCCAAATGTATACATTGTGTAGCAGTATGATTTGTCTTTGTGGACACTGATTTTTTCCACAGTTTCCAACAGCTGTGGGATCTGCTGTTTGTCTTTAATGTTAAGAACAAAAGAGCTTCCTCCACAGCTCTCACAGAGCTCCTGGATGTCCTGGTTTTTCTTTACAAAGTTACCAACAGCTGTATCTGTAGGATCTGAGTCCACAGTGAACAGAATCGTGGTGAAGTCATTGACTCGAGAGCTGAATGTGTTCTGGATGGTCTCTAACTCTCCCTTGTCTTCATCAGTGAGGGGAGCCACAGGTAGGACCAGGATGAAGGCATGGACACCCTCAGGATCACAGAGGGAGATACACCTGAGTGATTCCTCCATCACTGCCTCCTGAGGTTTTCCATACAAGGCAGGCAGCTCCACCAGGGAAACCCAACGTCCACACACCTCTCCCTGATGTTTAACACACTCTGATGAGTTGGAGACTGAATGAAGCTCAGTCTGACCTAAAATGGCCTTGGCTGTTAAAGTCTTCTCTGCTCCTCTCCTCCCACACAGAACCAGGTTTAAAGATGGTTTGATGCTGTGATTGTATTGATTTGTCATTTCCTGAATCTTCTGCATTAATGATCCATAGTTATCTTCAGACATGTTGTAGTGCCTTCCTCCACATTCTCTGAGGACTTCATTCACAGAGAAACTCATTTCATTCTCATGTGTGATGACGACCATCGAGTGTTTAAAGGCATTGTGACCAAACAGACTCAGGATGAACTTCAGAGTTGTTCTGTTCTCTTCACTGAATTCAGAAGGTTTCACCAACAGCAGCAGAACATTAGGTCCAGGATGACAGAGACTCACACAGCTCTCCACTTTTCTTCTCATGTCCTCCTCAGACAGACTGAACAAGTCTGGAGTTTTGACTACTGTTACTAGTTTACCTCTCCACTCTCCACAGGAGGCCACACAGTGAATGAGTTTTTGGCAGTGAAATGCTTGGTACCCAATGATCAAGTTACCAAGTTTTGTCTTCTTATCTTCACTTTTGCCCAGCAGCACAATCCTGAATGCAGACACTGTGATACAACAAAGAGAACACAATAACACAAATTAATCTAAAATCACAGCACTTGGCTTGTACGAGGAGATCTCTTCAATCCTCAGTATGCTCAGAGAATCTTTAGTATTACTCATCGATTGACTTGGTCAAATGTGATGTGATGTGAGTCACACTTAAAGATTAAAATCCAAACACCAACACAGTTAGCCATTGTGTGTGAATGTGTTAAACATTTAAGCTTTTTGCACAACTGTTTGTATAAGGTCAAAGTTTAATGTTAAATTATTAAGTTAAGTTTAAACAACCTCAGCTCACCGAAGTTCTGCACAAGCCTACTAATGTATATTATTCATCCATTTTCTTCTTCTTATCCTTTTCAGCCTCGCAGGGGCACTGGAGCCTATCCTATTATAATTAAAACTGTTGGATGTTCAGACCAAAAAAGGACAAAAGAAATGTTCGTTTTCAAAAACAGGATGAGCCCTGACATCATTTTACTTACTGTTGGACAAAGGTGTTTTTCCAGAAACTTGAGGATTGATTTGTTTTAATTTATTGGGCAATCCTGTCAAAATAAGAAATTGCTGTGCTGATTATTGAATCATAGATGTTGTATATTCTGTGTATTTCATCCTTGTCAGAAGAGTTTCTCATCTTACCTGCAGCTTTAACAGCATCAGTGATTGGAGTCTTTGAGTCCTTTTTTGGCGGGGTTTTTTGATCTTTTGATAAATCCTGTTCTGTGTCCTCAAAAGCTTCATAGCTGACATGCTCTCCATTGTTGTACTTTGTAATTTCCCCCAAATGTGTTAACAGCTCTGGAAGTTCAACGTTGCTCCTCTTCAAGTATCTGCATTTACATTTTTTGATCATTTCATTTAATGCTGGACTTTTCATGAAATCTTCCGAAGAACCAGAGCTCTCCTTTCTGGGTGCTGAGATCAGTATCAGTGAATGATCAAATGATTGATCACTGTAACCTTGAAGGACTCTGCAGAGTCTCTGTTTGTGCTTTTCTGTAAAGGTTTCAGGCTGTACAAGCAGCAGGAACACATGAGGTCCAGGATCAGAGTGTTTTGCACAGTCTTTTATAAACTCTGTCAGATCTTGTTGGGAGGTGTCGAGAGGAGGCAGGTAGCGGGTGTTGATGACAGCAATTTTTTTGCCCTCCAGTGTAGCACTAATTCTCACACACGCTTTAGTTTTACTGGTGAACACAGTATCTCCCAGTAACAGATTTCCCACTTCATTTTTCTCAGTCCAGCTGCTCCCCAGCAGAACAACCCTCAGCTCAGACACTGCGGGAAACACAGATGTAGAAAAGGCAGCTAAACACAGACATGCAGCATACTGAAGAGTGATTCCCTTTGTTTCAGTGAGGTTTAAATCCAGAGGTTTTAGTTCTAAATTCAGATATATTTTAAGTTCTCACTAACACAGTTCAGTGTAACTCACTGTTTTTTGGCAGTACTTCAAGGCTGCTTCCTGTTTGGGGAGGCTGATGCTCTGTGATGTAAAGAGAAAGAAAGATAGATAGAAGGGAAAAGACAATGGATGCCATGCCATCAATGGACCATTGCTCAACAACCACTGACCAAAACCCACTGATCAACAACCACTGATCAATAACCATGAGTCCCATTCACAGAGAGTTGGGGAATGGCTGCAATCACAGTATGTAAGATGGTGACAGATGGACCCTTAGGCCCCTCCTCCATTCAAAGATGGTCTTTCCCTTTTCACGTAAATGGCCTCCTTGACTCCGCCCTCAAACCAGCGTTCCTCCCTGTCCAGGATGTTACATCCTCATCATTGAAAGAGTGTCCACTGGCCTGTAGGTGTAAACAGACTGCAGAGTCCTGGCCTGATGAGGTGGCTCTTCTGTGTTGTGCCATCCTCTTACCCAGAGGTTGTTTGGTTTCCCTGATGTATAAATCCTGCCAATCCTCCTGCACTTAACAGCTACACTATGTTACTCTGTTTGTGTCGGGGACCTGATCCTTCGGGTGGACCAATTTTTGGTGCAGCATGTTTTGGGGTTTAAAAGCCACAGAGACGCTGTGTTTAGAAAAAATGCGTCTCAGCTGCTCCGATACTCCTGACACTTATGGGATCACTACAGGTTTTCGCTTGGTCAGCGGTTGTCCTTCTCTCCTGGATCGGCTGGAGCTTTCTTTAGGAGCCTTTCCAGCTTCGACAAAAGTCCAGCTGGGATAACCACATTTACTCACATTCACTCCCAGTTTGTGCTCCAGTGGATGATGAAAGTCAAACCTTAGATACTGATCCGTATGCGTAGGTTTACGGTACACGTCAGCTTTTAGATGTCCCTTATTACTGATGGAAATCTACTGATTTCCATTTGTCTCTCATCATCCACTGGAGCACAAACTGGGTATCATCAGGACGCTACAACACAGAGCGAACACCATCCCCACAGACACAGCAGCCAGGGAGGCAGAAGAACATCAAGAAGGCCCTGAGTAAATGTGGTTATCCCAGCTGGACTTTTGTCAAAGCTGGGAAGGCTCCAAAAGAAAGCTCCAGCTGATCCAGGAGAGAAGGACAACCGCTGACCAAGTGAAAACCTGTAGTGATCCCGTACGTGTCAGGAGTATCGGAACAGCTGAGACGCATTTTTTCTAAACACCAGGTCTCTGTGGCTTTTAAACCCGAAAACACGCTACGCCAAAAGCTGGTCCACCCAAAGGATCGGGTCCCCGACACAAACAGGGTAACATAGTGTAGCTGTTAAGTGCAGGATTTATACATCGGGGAAACCAAACAACCTCTGGCTACAACACAGAAGAGCCACCTCGTCAGGCCAGTTGTCACACCTACAGGCCAGTGGACACTCTTTCAATGATGAGGATGTAACATCCTGGACAGAGAGGAACGCTGGTTTGAGGGCGGAGTCAAGGAGGCCATTTACGTGAAAAGGGAAAGACCATCTCTGAATGGAGGAGGGGCCTAAGGGTCCATCTGTCACCATCTTACATGCTGTGATTGCAGCCATTCCCCAACTCCCTGTGAAAGGTACTCATGGCCATTGATCAGTGGTTGTTGATCAGTGGTCATGAGAATTTGCATAATTATGATTAAGGAACTGACCTCCCAGCCCATTGTTCCTTCAGTGGGCTGGTTTCAGTCATTATGCAAATGTCCTGTTTATAAGATTGAAACCTGCAGTCATCTGAGACTGAAGAAGTCACCTGGATGAGTGACGAAATGTTTCTCCCACAAAACGCTGCGTCCAGACGAACAGAATCAACTTTTGGAGATTTACTTACCTGGATGATTGAGATGCATCAAGATGATACTTATGAATGCTCCCAAAAAGTAGATTTTGTCCTTCTGGACATAGAAATGTTTTGTCACTTATCCAAGCGGCTTCTTCAGTCTCAGCTCACTGCAGGTTTGATCGATGGTCATGAGAATTTGTATATTAATGAACATTCAGTAGCTTGGTTTCAGTTATTGTCTTTATAAGATAGTGGAAACCTGCAGTCAGCTGAGACTGAAGAAGTTACTTGGATGAGTGACGAAACATTTATCCCACAAAACGCTACGTCCAGACGAACAGAATCAACTTTTGGAGATTTACTTGCCTGGATGATTGAGAATGCATCAAGATGATGGACTGAACTGATCTTTTTGGAATTTTTTGGATGTTAGTAAAGCATAATAAAGCACATTTCTTAAGGTATTTAAATTATTGTATTAAAAAACATTGTCGAAACAAATAATTTTATTAGGTATCATGTTACTTAATAAACACGTTGTGCTGTTCATCCCATAAAAAGACTCAAACATAAATTAAGTGGCTTATTATGATGTTTTAGATTATTTTCTTTCGCAAAAACAGAGATATTATAACACCACACACTTTTGTCTACAGAAAGGGAGATGCAGTCATTTATTAGCATTAGTTATAAATTCTGATTGAACTCACCAGTTACTGTAGTTGCCATGAGGTCACACTGTGGGAAATATGAGTTACTAGACAAACAACTGCAAGAAGATAAAATCAGAGAAAATAAGGCACCAGTTCATAATACAAGTAGGTACTAACCAGCTGGTACAGTAGACAATTGAAAATTATAGGAGAAAAATATTATCATGAGTGTCTTACTGATAATTATAATTAATAATTCACAGTTCTAGGGACCATGCTGCTCGTTGTGCTTTTAGTGCATAGTGCTGAATAGAGAATTGGTGAAGGGACAGCTATGTAGGCATGTGTGACAGATCTTTAATTATTACAAAATTAAAATTACTAAAAATGCAGATCGAAAATTGTTAGTCAAAAAGTTGTAATAATTTTGACTAACACAGATATAAGCTGGAGGAGGTAGCTTGGGAGAGGGAGGTCTGGGCTTCCCTGCTTTGGCTGCTGCCCCTGCGACCCGGCCCCAGATAAGCAGAAGAAGATGGATGGACAGTCTGTTACTGTTCTTATTATCTTGGAGCAACTGTAACTACATAATTAGGGATTAGTTAAATATTCTGATCGTGATTCTGATTCTTCTCAGTAAACGTTCGGTTTATGTCAGAGGGGCTCAACAGTGGCTAATGATGAACCCTGGTTTGGCTTGGTAGTTATGTTATTGTGTTAAAGGAAACCACACTTCAACTATTAAGATGCAGGCTTAATAAACAGACATGATTTGTTTGCACAAAAGGCAAGAAGAGTTTCAAACTTAAGGCAATAAGAAGTAGTGGCTGAAAGGTTAAAAAAACATGAAATTAGATAGTGCTATTTATCTTTAATACCAGCCAGAAACATCTTAATATGTTACCTTTCTGAAGATGTTACCACTCCATTAACCTTTGACCTGTGGTGTGACTATAACCTTCACCTCTCAGTGAGATAGAGTGCTTGGAACTGTTTTATTCAGACCTACAAAAACATCTGCACTTAATGATCTAAAGGAACTGTTTGAACATGTTCCAGAAATTCAGGTCTGACTAGCTCGCGTCCAGAAATAGATACTGAATGTAGTTGGAACTGTTTGCCAGCAAATAAACATTTGGACGTTGTCAAGGATTACTCAGGTAGTCTAGGAGAATGGGGACATTTATGACATGTTCCAACAGATAAACCAGACCGTGTAGAGACTTTCAGTTGCACATGGGCCAACAACATATAAGTACCTCAGTTGGTACCTGTTAAGAAAGAAAAATAAAGGTGTTATAACTGTGAGCGTACAGCCAATGGCGCTATGCACCTTTTTCTACCTCTGTTTTACATCTTAACTAAGTTAAATAAGTAAATAATAATTTTAGCATCTGGCTGTAAGTTCTTTCACTGGCCATCTTATTGTTTTAATGCATTATCAATAATCAGGCCCCATCTTATCTTAATGACCTTGTAGTACCATATCACCCTATTAGAGCACTTCGCTCCCGCTCTGCAGGCCTACTTGTTGTTCCTAGAGTATTTAAAAGTAGAATGGGAGGCAGAGCCTTCAGTTTTCAGGCCCCTCTTCTGTGGAACCAGCTTCCAGTTTGGATTCAGGAGACAGACACTATCTCTACTTTTAAGATTAGGCTTAAAACTTTCCTTTTTGCTAAAGCATATAGTTAGGGCTGGACCAGGTGACCCTGAATCCTCCCTTAGTTATGCTGCAATAGACGTAGGCTGCCGGGGGATTCCCATGATGCATTGAGTGTTTCTTCTTCACTCACTATGTGTTAACAGACCTCTCTGTATTGAATCATATCTGTTATTAACCTCTGTCTCTCTTCCACAGCATGTCTTTATCCTGTCTTCCTTCTCTCACCCCAACCAATCACAGCAGATGGCCCCGCCCCTCCCAGAGCCTGGTTCTGCTGGACGTTTCTTCCTGTTAAAAGGGAGTTTTTCCTTCCCACTGTCGCCAAAGTGCTGCTCATAGGGGGTCATATGATTGTTGGGTTTTTCTCTGTATGAGAAAGCATCTTGAGACAATTATAAAAGAAAAATAAAATAAAATTTAACTTAATTAATGTAACTAAACATTTGGACCAAACATTCAAAATAATGTATTCATTTAAATTAATTTTTACTGGCATTTTTATTTTGGCCGAAACATCAACGAGTTGCATGAATAAATATTTAACTGAAATAAAATATATAAGAATGTATGTACTATAACGCATCCACAGTATAACGTGCAAAGACTTTTGGGGGCTTTATTGATAATAAGACAAAAACCATGTAAATGTAACTTTCTGCTATGTACGTTTTTCTTCCTAAATAAAAAAAAATTATTATTGTTGCAGAAAAGAAACTGGAGACGCCTCATTTTTAAACAAACTGACAATCAGAGGATCAAATTTTACATTAAACTGTACAAATCCGTTGTTTTCGGGCTTTTTCCTCTATTTCTGCTTCAAACAGTTAAAGTACTTTTTCCGAGTTATTTAAAGTTGACGGTGTGTGTCTGAACGAACAGGAAGCTGTTTCCAGCACCGTCAGCCAAATTACCGTGACATCAGTGTGTCGATATAAATTTGACTCACCTAACGACGATCAGTAATTTATCAGTGATCGCTGATTGATCAGTCAGTAATGTCAACGCCGAAGCTTCGTGTGGTTTAATGAGCAGCTCAGCAG